GTCTTACCACAAACTGTAATCTGGAGAGGATACATAAGCTCCAAAAACGTGCTGCAAGATTAGTTTTATCTGTTTCTTTTGATTTTCCATCAACATTAATGTTTAAAAAGCTTGCATGGATGACTATATTTACAAGAATACAATATTTTCAAGCTGTGTTAATGTTTAAATGTATGAATGGTCTAGCACCTGATTATCTATCTATTAAATTTACTGCTTGTACTGATCTTTATAATTATTATCTCAGGTCGACAACATCAAGACTTCTTCATGTACCAAGACCTAATTCTGAATTTTTAAAAAGAACATTTAAATATTCTGGTCTTATTACTTGGAATAATTTACCAAATAATATTAAAGAAATAAATAATTTAGATACATTTAAGATCAAATGTTCAAACTATTTTCAAACTGTACAGAATGAAGATGCTTGATTCTAATGTATTTTTTCTTCTTCTATTGAATGCATATGTACTTATTCAATATTTAAGCTGCTATGTATAACAGTATTATGTATTTTATTTTGTTTGTATTTTTTTTTTTTTTTTTTTTTCTTTTCTATTTGTATTAATAGTTTTTGAAGGCCTCATGGAAGATTAACATGTAATTGTTAAATGTGTTACCTTCGTTAAATAAAGAATTTTATTTATTTATTATTTAATTCTTCTTGAAATGACGAACAGGAATATATATGGTTAAGGGTGGGGATCTCGACCGTTTAAAATTTCTCAAAAGGGGGAGGTGACTCCCAGGGGACTCGCCCTTTATTTCATTTGATTTGCTTTATTGTCCCATACAAGAATATATATGGTTTAGGAGTGGGGATCTCGACCGTTTACAAGTTCTCAAAAAGGAGGGGGTGGGGGTTACCCCCATTGACTTCCCCTATATTTAATTTGATTTGTTTTATCATCCCATACAAGAATATTTATGGTTTAGGGGTGGGGATCTCGACCGTTTACAAGTTCTCAAACAGGAGGGGGTGGGATGACCCCCAGGGACTCGCCCTATATTTCATTTAATTTGTTTTATTGTCCCATACATGAATATATATGGTTTAGAATTGGGAACCTCGACCGTTTACACGTTGTATATATAAGGGGGTGGGTTGACCCCCGTGGACTTCCCTCATATTTCATTTGATTTGTTCAATTGCCGCGATATAGCCTTTATGTGCTAATGCTGCGTAAAGCAAACAACAATCAATCAATCAATCAATTGTCCCATACAAAAATATTTATAGTTTAGGGGTGTGAACCTCGACCGTTTACACGTTGTATATATAAGGGGGTGGGGTGACCCCCGTGGACTTCTCTAAATTTCATTTAATTTGTTTAATTGTCCCATACAAGAATATTTATGGTTTAGGGGTGGGAACCTCGACCGTTTACACGTTGTATAAATAAGTGGGTGGGTTGACCCCCCTTGGACTTCCCTTATATTTCATTTGATTTGTTTTATTGTTCCATACAAGAATATTTATGGTTTAGGGGTGGGGATAGCGACCGTTTACAAGTTCTCAAACAGAAGGGGGTGGGGTGACCCCAGGGACTCCCCCAATATTTCATTTGATTTATTTTATTGTCTCATACAAGAATATATATGGTTTAAGGGTGGGGATCTCGACTGTTTACAAGATAAAAGCACATTCTCAAATTGAAGTGGGTGGGGGTGACCCATAGGGACTCATCCTATATTTTATTTGATTTGTTTTATTGTCCTGTGATCATTTCTGAAGACCGTGTGTGTCTATCACTTACTGTTTTCGAGTTATAGTCATTTGAAAATTTAATAAAATGCTCCGCTGGGCGCAGCTTGATACGACTGCAGAGGTCGAACCCTGAACAGTTGGGGCAAGTATGGACATAACATTCAAGCTTGATACAGCACTGAATTTGGATTGTGATTAAATATTTGACACAGCATAGGTTTCTGACAAAGAATGAATATGGTCTAAGAACTTAAATTTTTTTAATTTACATATTCAAACCATATCATTATTATTTGCCTTTACATATAAATCAGAAATAACCAATTTAAAATGGAAAATTTTAATGGAAAAAAAGGAAAAAAAAATCCCCCCCCCCCCAATGTTTTGAACCCCCTTATGATTCATCACCCCCAAACTCAATCCCAACCTTCCCTTTGTGGTATGGTACCTTGCAGTACAATTTCAGATAGATCCATACACTTGAACACAAGTTGTTGTCTGGAAACTAGAATAAAATGCTTCGCTGGGGCGCAGCTTGATACGACCGCAGAGGTCGAACCCTGAACAGTTGGGGCAAGTATAGACACAACATTCAAGCTTGATACAGCACTGAATTTGGATTGTAATTAAATATTTGACACAGCATAGGTTTCTCACACAGAATGAAAGTGGTCTAAGAACTTAAAAATTTTTAATTTACCTATTCAAACCATATCGTTATTATTTGCTTTTATATATACATCAGAAATAACCAATTTAAAATGGAAAATTTTAAAGAAAAAAACATACATGTGATGGACTGTGAAACTCAGATCAGGAGATTGGAAAATTTTGGTCAGGAGATTAGGACTCAGACCAGGAGGTTTTTAATCGACATAAAGTTTGTCGTAAATGTAACCGTGTGCTGTAAAAATTGTCTTTTAAAGTGTGTTTTCTTCAACTTCAATCCGAATGTATTATGTATTATGTTTATAGTACCCTTGTACTTATAAAGTTTCTTTATCTTAATATTCTACATGTTCAATCTAAGATTCTTTTTTTTTAGTATGTTCTTTAAATTTTTCAATTCATATCTTTTATATCATTATTCTATAGGACAAACATTGCAATCAGATCATTTGTTTACCTATCTGCTTTAGCAGTTAGATTTTATTTGAATAATCAGAAACTCATTTAAATTTAGAACATGGGTCATAGTTATTATATGAATTCAATTTAAGCCTTGAAAGAAAGTATAGAACCCTCAAATAATTTTCAAATTATTATTTTTTGATTTGTCCTAAGACATTTAAAATCATTTAATTACCATCCTTTTATGATTATTTGTTCAATTTATATTTTATTTATATTCTTTTAAAAATTTACATTATTTAAAGGAAAGTAACTTAAAACAGGATAAATCAGGGGAAGTAACCCAATAAATACACAAAGTTTTCATTACACAACGGCAGTTAGCCTGAGGTAAAAATCGTTGATTACCAGTATGTTTGACACCCAAGCTGACAAGTGAAGCCATATAATTATGCATGTTAATTGATTTACAGGTAAAATATAACTTCAGGTGATGTCAGTTACACCAGATGTCTGAGATGATATGTTGGGCAGATTTCATACACAGGATTTTTTTCTCTTCAACGCGAGGTCGGGAGGAGACCCCTGAAAACGGGATTATTGTACTCCCGTCGGAAGGTTTACATGTATGAAAAAAAGAAAAAAAATCCCCCAAAATTTTTTTGAACCCCCTTATGATTCATCACCCCATTGGCCCAAACTCAATCCCAGCTTTCCCTTTGTGGTATGGTACCTTGCAGTACAATTTCAGAGAGATCCATACACTTGAACACAAGTTATTGTCTTGAAACTAGAAAAATGCTTGTTTTTTGGCCCCTTTTTGGCCCCAAATTCCTAAACGTTTAGGGCAATTACCCCCAAACTCAAACCCAGCTTTCCCTTTGTGATATGGAACCTTGCAGTACAATTTCATAAAGATCCATACACTTACACACAAGTTATTGTCCTGAAACTAGAAAAATGCTTGTTTTTTGCCCTTTTATGGCCCCTAATTACTAAAATTTTGAGGCAATTACCCCCAAAATCAATCCCAGCCTTCCCTTTGAGGTATGGTACCTTGCAGTACAATTTCAGAGAGATCCATACATTTGAACACAAGTTATTGTCTGGAAACTAGAAAAATGCTTATTTTTGGCCCCTTATTCCTAAACTTTTTGGGCAATTACCCCCAAACTCAATTCCAGCTTTCCCTTTCTGATATGGAACCTTGCAGTACAATTTCATAAAGATCCATACACTTACACACAAGTTATTGTCATGAAACTAGAAAAATGCTTGTTTTTTCGCCCCTTTTTGGCCCCTAATTCCTAAAATATGGAGGCAATTACCCCCAAAATCAATCCCAGCATTCCCTTTGTGATATGGAACCTTGTGATACAATGTCAGAGAGATCCATACACTTACACACAAGTTATTGTCATGAAACTAGAAAAATGCTTGTTTTTTGCCCCTTTTTGGCCCCTTATTCCTAAAATTTGGAGGCAATTACCCCCAAAATCAATCCCAGCATTCACTTTGTAATATGGAACCTTGTGGTACAATGTCAGAGAGATCCATACACTTACACACAAGTTATGTCTGGAAGTTACAAAAATGCTTATTTTTGGCCCCTAATTCCTTAACTGTGGGTACCATAACCCCCAAAATCAATCCCCACCTTCCTTTTGTGGTATTGAACCTTATGGTAAAATTTCATTGAGATTCATTCACTTAAACTAAAGTTAGAGTGCGAAAACTAATGTGTATTCGGACGACGAAGCTGGACGACGACGACGACGACGCCAACGTCATACCAATATACGACCACAAAATTTTTTTTGCGGTCGTATAAAAATGCTTATTTTTGGCCCCTTATTCCTAAACGTTTTAGGCAATTACCCCCAAACTCAATTCCAGCTTTCCCTTTGTGATATGGAACCTTGTAGTACAATTTCAGAAAGATCCATACACTTACACACAAGTTATTGTCATGAAACTAGAAAAATGCTTGTTTTTTGCCCCTTTTTGGCCCCTCATTCCTAAAATTTGGAGGCAATTACCCCCAAAACCAATCCCAGAATTCCCTTTCTGATATGGAACCTTGTGGTACAATGTCAGAGAGATCCATACACTAACACACAAGTTAAGTCTGGAAGTTACAAAAATGCTTATTTTTGGCCCCTTTTTGGCCCCTAATTCCTAAACTGTTGGTACCATAACCTTAAAAATTAATCCCCACCTTCCTTTTGTGGTATTGAACCTTATGGTAAAATTTCATAGAGATCCATTAACTTAAACTAAAGTTAGAGTGCGAAAACCAATGTGTCTTCGGACGACGACGACGCCAACGTCATACCAATATACGACCACAAAATTTTTTTGCGGTCGTATACAAAAATTATAGTCCGATTTTGTGAGGCCGATTGTATGTTATAGGCCGAGTTGTTATGGGCCGAGATATGAGGATACTTTCAAAACCCTCGGGCTTTTACGTCTTTAATAAACATTTGTAAATATCGTAAAAATGGCGCCAGAAAATGTTCATTCAAGAGAATTTTTTAAACACGGTATTTATTTTCTCTTCGATCGGAGGACGGGGGAGACCCGTGACACCGGGATTATTGTACTCCCGTCAGGAGGTTCACATAAATGGATTAAAAGCATGTCTAGGGATTCCCGTAGGAAAACATACAGATAAAATAAACAGTGACAGTTCAAAGTATGCATAATTTATAGAGGTCACACCTAATACCATTTGCAAACGTAAAAATTGAAAAGATTACGACATTCTTAACAATAAGAATTCTTTAATTTCATGAATAAATGTAAAAAAAAAAAAACCAACACACACCTCGAAATAAATATCAGGCCCTCTTAATTTTCAATTAATTAAACGTAGAAACTGCTGCCTCGTGTTGATGTGTATTGATTTTATCTTCCGTGCAGGGCAGATCCGCGAAGTAGTTTTTGTGATACCCATTTTCAAAATAAAGTTGGATCCATTTGAATTGTCGGTGAACCTTCAGTCCAATTTTTAATTAATTTTATTTAAGCTGTAAGCTTATTAAAATAGAAGTAACTCAAAAAAATTTCAAAAGCCTCTTTATTTAATTTGTATTCAAACACTAGTACTACATTATCTTGGGGTAGAACACACATCCTATAGTAAGATAGTCTGTCCAACTTCCAGTTTGAGGCCGATGCCATAGGAAAGTTTATTGCTACAGCAAGCTATAGCAAACTTTCCAAAAAATCGCACCTGCTCTATCTCAAAAAGATTTTTACAGTGTAGTGTACTACTATTGGGACAAATAATATCAAAATTATAGAATAGTCTACCGGCTCTAACTCAAAATATTGACAATTCTATGTTAAGGGGGTCTAAAATTCAGTTCGACAGCTTCAGACATACTAGTTTTTGACCTTTTTGAACTGGACCAAATCACTACTTAACATAAAGATTCAGCACCCAAATATTTTTAATAATTTTATGTAATTTCATCCCTTAACTTAATATTTCATGCATAAAATATGAAGAAATAAATTTGGAAAGTGTATGAACAAAATTTGCAAGTTATACACTGTCCACACTAGGGACTATATTTGTAGACAACGAAAATCTAAGGACGATAACTGTGTCCTCGGACCAATTGACTGATTGCCTCTCATATTTTCTTCTTTACTTGGAGCATAAATTGGAATCTATAGTTCTTGACAACAATTTGCATTTTAAGCTAAGAAAAAGTTAAATAAAATATAAAATATTTTAAATCTCACTTATCTTATCTCTATGAAATGTTACCTTGTGCATTTTTGTCGTCAGCTTCATTGAGTTTTGTTACAACAAGATAAATTGCACCTGAGGACAAAAAGGTTTGATGTGTGTGGTAAAATTCTTCATCTCCTGCAAAATCCCATAGCAATAATGTGGCATACTCCTCTTTGTCATGTAAATCAACATTAGATTTAAGCATGGTTTCAATATCCATTTTTGCCTGTTTTAATGATTGGTTTCGTTGCTGCGAGGTTACTGGAGGTTCAACTTGAGATTCAGTGGTTACTTGAAGTTTTCTTTTTTTAGGCTGCTGGCTTACTGTCTCTGATTCTTTTGATTCCTCAATACGCTTGTACAGAATGGTTATGAGGGTGTTTTCCCTAACAACTTCATGTGTTAATTCTTGTACTGATGCTTCAATTGTTCCTTTGTATTGTTTCAAGAGTCTTGCATGAATTTCAGTTTCTTTATTGGTTCCTATCATTAGAAAATTATAATAATAGTAAAGAAATACTAAGTAAGATCCATCATAAAATAAGCAATAAACAGTTACAAAATAAATGTTGTCCATCAATTTTTTTTCCAACCCTTAGCTAGTTCTACAAAAATACTCATGAACAGTTATCACAATTGAATAGGGAGTTTCTTCAGTTGGTTGTAATATTGATATAACAGATTTGACGAAAACCACCAAACTTGATGCATATTCTACACATACCTTATTATTAATATGTTGCTAATAAAGTTAAGATATTCATCAAAATAAATCCAAAAAAGCATGCATTAAGAATCATCATGAGATGGTGTGGTTAACATATAATTTTGAAGGCAAACAGTGAGTTGTAATTGTTTACACCCTCATCCTTTGGTCATTGTTGGAAAGCTGTCTTATGGGCAATCATGACACATTTTATATCAATGTCTCCACATGTTAAAACAGCATTAGCTACCAAATCCACATAAACTGTATCGATTTGGAACTTTCAGAATTGATTTATACGCGTATATACCATATTTAAAAGTATACCAGTAGTACAAAAAGTCCACAGAAAACAATAGAAAAGGCAAACAATTTTCATGAAGTATCAACATTTTTACGACTGGAAAACCCATAATTATCCGTCAACAGTAGCTCTAAAGAAAGCATGTGACAAAAAGGCAATTTAAATAGATAAATATAAAAATCAAATGAAATAGTATTATAATGATATTCCTCTTTTCTGTGTGATATCATATCATCGATAAAAATATGATCAACATCATCTTTTTAATCAAAATTTAAATCAGGCAGGTGTTACCAGTTAAAGGAGATGACGTAACTGAACATGATGAGCACATGCACAATCAAAATCTTGACTGAGGTCAAACCATGTGTCGCATGCATATGGATGCAAATGTGGTTGTAACAATAATGTAACAATGAACTTTTGGGGTCATATTTTGACAAAATCAAACCAAGCTTTAGTTATTTTGTTCATCTTTTCTGATACTGTTTAAAAGCCTATAACATTAATGGTACCATTTCTATTGTACCAGATACACACTTGTACCATAAATATCTCTTCACATAGTTTCTGACTGGATGAACTATTTATGAAAATTCTTGACCTGGAATAATTGAAATGTATCCTTGAATTAATATTGGATCCTGTAAGACCTATGCTTTGAAAACTGGAAATTGATAGATAGTCCCCTAAAAAATCAAATAATATTGCTGAATAATAAGTTATGTAAACTAGAAAACAAAAACATTATAAATACTTTCTAAAGAATAGAGAAACATTTGTGTTTAAATTTATACATCATACCATCTAATTTATTCCATATGCCATCATCAGCCTTTGCTTTGCATTTTATTGTGTGGATTTCTATTCCATTTGTACTAGTTACATCTGTATTCTCTTCAGAGAACAATCTTTTAATCAATGATGTCTTTCCTGCACCTTTTTTTCCAACTACTACTTAACGTATGTCTCTCTTTTTTTCAGAGCCTGACTCAAGTAATTTGAGGTACAAATCAATAGATCTTTTGTCAGCCATTAATTTTATTTCAGTTGGAACCATATCACCTGCAATAATATTTGTTCATAAAGAGTTTTTCTATAAAGAAGAATATAATAACTTTACTCTATTTAATTAAGTATACACATATAACTATTTTGTGTGCCTGTTTTCACTGTATGTTAATATTTAATATTCAATTGCATTACATGTAAGTTTTGATTGACAGACAACAGTCATGGAGACATTCCAAAATTATATTTTATTTATTTACCAATAAAATTCATTTTTTCATGACTGCATGTGTTTCCTTTGAGAACATCAGAACAATGCATAGGAAAACTAATGAAAAGCTTGATATGAACTGCTATATCATGATTGTAGCATAAACATCTCATTATCAAAATTGAATCCTTCTTTTGTCATTTTACAGTGTTGTAAAAGCATTGATCCTTTGTACATTTGTAGTACGAAATGTGCTTCGGTTGTCGCTTTAATACCCACATAGAAATACAGAAAGAAGCTATGAAAATATACTTGAAGAATCAACTCGCTATGATGCCAGGGTCTGTGCACAATTGTCTCGAATTAAAGAACCTTTGTGAGCACGCTCACATACCCCACACCCCAAAATTGTCACTGGGCAAACAAAATCTCACCAGATTCCTAAAACTCATAACTCCTACAAAAATCAACTGAAAAAAATTTCCTGTGCATATGCACATATACATAGTATGTCCTAACTATCTACAAAGTTTCATGAAATTCTGTTGTGTGGTTTCAGAGGAGTTGCCATGATAAACTCTTACAGTAGTATATTTAGGCCAACATTCTAAGTTCACACAGGCATAACTCCTAGAAAATTGATTTAATGTTGATACTCCTAAATATAAAGCTTTACTACAAGTATCACATAAACTTACGATAATAAAAGAAAATGAGGTCAAGGTCAGATAAACCAAACAAAAAATACATCATGTACATCTACACCTCACAATCATTGCATACACGAAATATAATTGACCTATTGCTTATAGTTTCTAAGAAATAAACTTAACGAGGAAAATGTAGCATTGACCAGTGAACGATGATAATGAGGTCAAGGTCAGATGAACCATCCAAGACAGACAAGTACACCTTACAGGCAGTAAGGCAATCTATGTATTACATACAGTTGACATATTGCTTATAGTTTCTAAGAAACAAACTTAACCATGAAAACTTAATATTGACCAATGAACCATGAAAATGAGGTCAAAGTCAGATGATACCTGCAAGACAGACATATACCTTACAATCATTCCATACACCAAATATAATTGACCTATTGCTTGAAATATCCTAGAAAAAAACTTAACAATGAAAACTTAACATTGACCAATGAACCATAACAAGAGGCTCTAAAGAGCCTGAATCGCCCACCTGTAATTTTTTGCTTAAATCTTTCATCAATAATTATTTTTGCTTTTCTATATATATTAATGAGTGGCTTAAAAATGCCATTTAAATGTTCTTTGTATCTGTCATATTTTCTTCAAATGCAAAAAAAAAAGCATTTTATCCCTATGTTCAATTTTAGCCATAGTGGCTATGTTTCTTGACGAACAAGGAAATAAAATGTAGAAATTTAAACTAGATACTCTAAACCCATTCAGCCCAAGTTTGGCTGAATTGAT